TTTGTGGCCCTTACTGGGCCCAGTGTGAGGCACTGACTTTGTCCAGTTTGGGACCTTTACCGGCACCAGTGTGCGGCTTTTACTGGCCCCAGTCTGCGGCTCTTACTGGGACCAGTGTGCTGCCCTTACCGGAACCACTCTGGGGCCCTTACTGGCCCCAGTGTGTTGCCCTAACTGGTCCCAGTCTGCGACCATTACTGGCCCCAGCATGTGGCCCTCACTGGTTCTAGTTCAAGGCCCTGACTGGGCCCAGTTTCCAGCCATTACTGGGCCCAGTTTGGGACCCTTACTGGCCCCAGTTTACGGCCATTACTGGGCCCAGTGTGCGGCCCTGCTGGGCCAGGTCTGCAACCGTTACTGGGCCCAGTCTGAGGCCCTGACTGGCCCCACTTTCCAGCCTTTACTGGGCCCAGTTTCGGGTCCCTACTGGCCTCAGTTTGGGACCCTGACTGGCCCCAGTTTGCAGCCATTACTGGCCCCAGTCAGGCCCTTACTGGCCTCAGTGTGCTGCCCTTACTGGGCCCAGTGTTCAGCCCTGACTGGCCCCAGTTTCCAGCCCTGACTGGCCCCAGTTTCCAGCCCTTACTGGCCCCAGTTTACGGCCATTACTGGGCCAGTGTGCGGCCCTGCTGGGCCGAGTCTGCAACCATTACTGGGCCCAGTCTGAGGCCCTTACTGGCCTCAGTCTGTGGTTGTTAATGACCCCACTTTGAGGCCCTTACTGGCCCCAATCCGAGGTCCTTACTGGTCCCAGGGTGCTGCCCTGACTGGCCCCAGTTTGGGACCCTTACTGGTCCCAGTTTGAGGCCCTGCTGGGCCCAGTGTGTGGCCATTACCAGCCTCAGTCTGTGGCCGTTACTGGCCACAGTTCGAGGCCTTTTCTGGCCTCAGTTCGAGGCCCTTACTGGGCCCAGTTTCCAGCCCTTACTGGGCCCAGTTTGGGGTCCCTACTGGCCTCAGTTTGGGACCCTTACTGGTCCCAGTTTGCAGCCATTACTGGCCCACATCTGTGGCCCTTACTGGTCCCAGTTTGAGGCCCTGCAAGGCCCAGTGTGCGGCCATTACTGGCCCCAGTCTGTGGCCGTTACTGGCCGCAGTTCGAGGCCTTTTCTGGGCCCAGTTTGGGGCCCTTAGTGGCCCCAGTGTGCAGCTCTTACTGGCCCCAGTCTGCAGCCCTGCTGGCCCCAGTTTGAAGCCCTTACTGGTCCCAGTTTGGGGCCCTTACTGGCCCCACTATGATGCCCTTACTTGGCCCAGTCTGAGGCCCTGCTGGGCTCAGTTTGCAGCCCTTACTGGGCCCAGTTTGTGACCCTTACTGGCCCAGTCTGCGCCCGCTGCCTCCCTTCAGACCTTTCTGGATGCGGAGCTGCGCGGCCGAGGCCTTTTTGCTGGAGCTCTTGGTGCCGCCCGCCGATTCCTCCTCCTTCTTCTGCTGCTTCAGCGAGAACAGCTTGATCATCCTGCCGGGCCGGGGCGGCGGGGGCCGGGGCGGGTCCGGGCCCCCCCCGGGGCCGAGGGAGCGGGGCCGGGCCGGGGGCGGCTCCGGTTCGGGGGCTCCGGGGGCGACGGGGGCCGGGGGCGAGCGCTGAGGGCCGGCCGGCTCGGCAACTTCCGGAGCCGCTCGGCAACTTCCGGAGCCGCTCGGTATTCTCCGGAACCTCTTCGGCAACTTCCGGGATCTCTTCGTGACGCTCCGGAATTGCTTCTCTGCGACTTCGGGAGTTTCCGGAAGCGCTTCGGGAAGCTCCGGAGGTGCTTGGCGACTTCCGGAACCGCTTCGGAACCGTTTCGGGGCTTTGCGGAACGGCCTCAGCGATGTCCGGAGCCGCTCGGAACCTTCCGGAAAGGGGGGAGGATGTTCGGGACTCTCCGGAACCGCTTCGGAACCTCTGGGCGATCTCCGGGGCCGCTTCGCGGGTCTCTGGAATCGCTTCGAGAACCACCGCAGGGCTTCGGAATCTCTCGGCAAACTCCGGAGCCGCCTGGCGAGTTCCGGACCCGCTTCGGAACCGTTTCGGCCTCGGGCTCCGCCGGCGCCGCTCGGGAGCCGCTTCCGGGAGCTCCTGAACCGCTTCGGGGATCTCCGGAAAAGGGGGGGGTAGGGGAGAGGCTCGGGGGTCTCCGGAATGGGGCTCGGGGCTCGGGGGTCTCCGGAAGGGGGGCGGGGACCCCTCGGCACTTTCTGGAAAGGCTCCGGCGGGCCCGAGGGCTCTTCGGCTTCTTCCGGAAGGGGATCGACTCGTTCCGGCGCTTTGACCCCGCTTCGGCTCTTTCCGGAGCGCTTCGGGTTTTTCCGGAAAAGGGGGCGGGGCCAGGCGCTCCGCAAAGCGCCGATCTCCGCCCCTCGGCTCTTTCCGGCAGCCGCTTCGTTTCTGTTTCCCGCGCTTCAGGCTCGGCTCTTTCCGGAACGCTTCGGGTTTTTCCGGAAAGGGGGCGGGGCGAGGCGCTCCGAAAAGCGCCGGTCACCTCCCCTCGGCTCTTTCCGGAACACTTCGGGTTTTACCGGAAAGGGGGCGGGGTCAGGCGCTCCGAAAAGCGCCGGTCTCCTCCCCTCGGCTCTTTCCGGAACACTTCGGGTTTTACCGGCAAGGGGGCGGGGCCAGGCGCTCCGAAAAGCGCCGGTCTCCTCCCCTCGGCTCTTTCCGGAACACTTCGGGTTTTACCGGAAAGGGGGCGGGGCCAGGTGCTCCGAGAAGCGCAACTCTCTGTCCCTCGGCTCTTTCCGGAGCGCTTCGGGTTTTTCCGGAAAAGGGGGCGGGGCGAAGCCCTCCGAAAAGCGCCGATCTCGTTTCTCTCCCTCGCCTCACACTCGGCTCTTTCCGGAGCACTTCGGCTCTCCCCGGCTGCCACCAGCCAATCCCGTTCCGGGGGCGGGGCTTGCGGCCCTTTCTCCCAGTGGGCGCCGCCATCTTTGCTGGCCCGGGGTGAAGTGGGACCAGTTCGCCCTCCCAGAGCCTCCCGTGCCAGGCCCAGTTCACGGCCTGGGGTGGGTCCGGCACGGAAATCGGGGAGAATTCAGGAAATCCGAGCATAGAAATTGGGGAGAATTCAGGAAATCCAAACATTAAAATGGCGGAGAACGCAGGAAATCCAAACATTAAAGTGACGGAGAATCCAGTAAGCCCAAGTACAGAAATGGGGGAGAATTCAGGAAATCTGAGCCCAGAAATGAGGGACAATGCTCAAAATTCAAACACTAAAATGAGGGCGAAGCCAGGAAATCCAAGCCCTGAAACTGGGGGGTAACCCAGGAAATTCAAACATTAAAATGAGGGAGAACCCAGGAAATCCAAATATTAAAATGAGGCAGAATCCAAGCCCCAAAATGGGGGAGGAATTCGGGAAATATGAGCCCAGAAATGAGGGACAAGCCTCAAAATCCAAACACTAAAATGAGGGCGAAGCCAGGAAATCCAAGCCCTGAAACTGGGGGGAACCCAGGAAACCCTAACACAGAAATTGAGGAGAATTCAGGAAATCCAAGCACAAAAATGAGGGAAATTCCAGAAAATCCAAGCACAGAAATTGGGGCAGAATCCAGCAAAGCCAGCCCAGGAACGAGGCAGAACCCGGAGCCCAAACTTTAAACCCCCCCAGGGCTTTATTGACCCTTTATTGACCCCAGGATAGGGGGGACAGGGACACCCCAAAATCCTGGGGGGCTCTGGGGGGACCCCAAAAATCATGTGGGGGAAATTGGGGTGCTGGGAGGGGAAATTGGGGTGAAATTGGGGAAATTGGGGTGCTGGGAGGGGAAACTGGGGCCCTGTGAGGGAATCTGGGGTGCTGTAAGGGGAAATTGGGGTCCTATGAGGGGAAATGGGGTCCTGTGAGGGAAATTTGGGTCATGGGAGTTAAAATCGGAGTCCTGTGAGGAACATTGGTGTCCTGTGAGGGAAACTGGGGTCCTGTGAGGGAATTTGGGGTCCTAAAAGAGGAATTTGGGGGTGTGGGTGAGGAATTTGGGGTGCTGGGAGGGAAACTGGGGTCCTAGAACACGAAATTTGCGTTCTGAAAGGGGAAATTGGGGTGCTGTGAGGGAATTTGGGGTTCTGTGAGGGAATTTGGGGTGCTGTGAGGGGAAATTGAGATCCTGGGAGGGAATTTGGGGTTTTGTGAGGGAATTTGGGGTGCTGTGAGGGGAAATTGTGGTCCTAAGAGGGAAATTGGGGTCCTCAGAGGGAAATTGGGGTCCTGGGCGAGGAATTTGGGGTCCTATGAGGGGAATTTGGGTCCTCAGGGGGAAATTGGGGTCCTGTGAGGGGAAATTGGGGTCATGGGAGGGAATTTGGGGTGCTATGAGGGGAATTTGGGTTCCTATGAGGGGAAATGGGGTCCTGTGAGGGAAATTGGGGTCCTTGGAGGGGAAACTGGGGTCACGGGAGTTAAAATCAGAGTCCTGTGAGGAACATTGGTGTCCTGTGAGGGAAATTGCGGTTCTGTGAGGGAATTTGGGGTCCTAAAAGAGGAATTTGGGGGTGTGGGTGAGGAATTTGGGGTGCTGGGAGGGAAACTGGGGTCCTAGAACAGGAAATTTGCGTTCTGAAAGGGGAAATTGGGGTTTTGTGAGGGAATTTGGGGTTTTGTGAGGGAATTTGGGGTGCTGTGAGGGGAAATTGTGGTCCTAAGAGGGAAATTGGGGTCCTAAGAGGGGAAATTGAGGTCCTTGGAGGGAATTTGGGGTGCTATGAGGGGAATTTGGGTTCCTATGAGGGGAAATGGGGTCCTGTGAGGGAAACTGGGGCCCTGGGCGAGGAATCTGGGGTCCTATGAGGGGAATTTGGGTCCTGTGAGGGAAATTGGGGTCCTAAGAGGGGAAATTGGGGTCATGGGAGGGAATTTGGGGTGCTATGAGGTAAATTTGGGGTCCTGTGAGGGAAACTGGGGTTCTAGGAGTTAAATTCGGGGTCCTGAGAGGGAATTTGGGGTGCTGTGAGGGGATTTTGGGGTGTTGTGAGGGGATTTTGGGTTCTGTGAGGGTTTTGTCCCCCCCAAAATCATCACTCAGGTCCCGCTGACCGCTCCAGGCTCTCCTCAGGCTCCAGCAGCATCCTGGAGAATTTCTGGTCCCCGAAGGCGGCGCTGAGGCGGCTCTCGAGGAACCGCTGCAGCTCCAGGATGGACTGCACATCCGCCTTGTCCTAAAACGGGAATTCCTGAGGGGCTGAGCACCCCAAAAACACCCAAAACACCCCAAAACCACCTCAAAAACCTCACAAACACCCAAAATCCCCACAAACACCCCAGAACCGCTGCAGCTCCAGGATGGACTGCACATCCGCCTTGTCCTGAGGGGGAAATGGGGATTGAGACACCCCAAAAACCCCACAGGCACCCCAAAAACCCCACAGACACCCCAAAAACCTCACAAACACCCAAAAATCCACACAGACACCCCAAAAATCCACACAGACACCCAAAAATCCACACAGACACCCCAAAAACGTCACAGACACCCCAGAACCGCTGCAGCTCCAGGATGGACTGCACATCCGCCTTGTCCTAAAACGGGAATTCCTGAGGGGCTGAGCACCCCAAAAACACCCAAAACACCCCAAAACCACCTCAAAAACCTCACAAACACCCAAAATCCCCACAAACACCCCAGAACCGCTGCAGCTCCAGGATGGACTGCACATCCGCCTTGTCCTGAGGGAGAAATGGGGATTGAGACACCCCAAAAACCCCACAGACACCCCAAAAACCTCACAAACACCCAAAAATCCACACAGACACCCCAAAAACCTCACAAAACACCCCAGAACCGCTGCAGCTCCAGGATGGACTGAACATCCGCCTTGTCCTAAAACGGGAATTCCTGAGGGGCTGAGCACCCCAAAAACCCCCAAAACCACCTCAAAAACCTCACAAACACCCCAAAATCCCCGCAGACACCCCAGAACCGCTGCAGCTCCCGGATGGACTGAACATCCGCCTTGTCCTGAGGGGAACTGGGAACTCCAGACACCCCAAAAACCCCACAGACACCCCAAAAACCCCACAGCACATCCGCCTTGTCCTGAGGGGAAAACGGGAATTCCAGAGGGGCTGGACACCCCAAAAACCTCACAAACACCCAAAAAACCCCACAAACACCCCAGAAACCCCACAAAGAACCCAGAACCCCACGGACACTCCAAAAACCCCACAGACACCCCAAAAACCTCACAAACACCCCAAAAACACCTCAAAAACCCCACAAACCACCCCAAAAACCTCACAGACACCCCAAAAACCCCATAAACACCTCAAAAAACCCCACAAACACCCCAAAAACCTCACAAACACCCAAAAATCCCCACAGACACCCCAAAAACGTCACAGACACCCCAGAACTGCTGCAGCTCCAGGATGGACTGCACATCCGCCTTGTCCTGAGGGGAAAATGGGGATTGAGACACCCCAAAAACCCCACAGACACCCCAAAAACCTCACAGCACATCCGCCTTGTCTTAAAACGGGAATTCCTGAGGGGCTGGACGCCCCAAAAACCTCACAAAGAACCCAAAAACCTCACAAACACCCCAAAAAAAACGCCTCAAAAACCCCACAAACACCCCAAAAACCTCACAAACACCCAAAAACCCCACAAACACCCCAGAACCGCTGCAGTTCCAGGATGGACTGAACATCCGCCTTGTCCTGGGGGCAAAAATGGGAATTCGAGACACCCCCAAAATCCCCACAGCACATCCGCCTTGTCCTGAGGGGGAAATAGGAATTCCTGAGGGGCTGAACGCCCCAAAAACCCCACAAAACACCCCAAAAAAACCCCACAAACACCCCAAAAAACTCCACAAAAAACCCCGAAACCCGCCCCCAAAAAGGGCCCTGGAGGGCGACACTGAGGCGGTTCCTCAAGGAACCGCTGCAGCTTCAGGATGGACTGCACATCCTGAGGGGAAAATGGAATTCCAGAGGGGTTGAGAACCCCAAAATCACCACAAACACCCCAAAAAACCTCGCAAACACCCCAAAAACCTCACAGACACCCCAAAAAAACACCCACAGAGAACCCAAAACCTCGCAAACACCCCAAAAACCTCACGGACACCCCAGAACCGCTGCAGCTCCCGGATGGACTGAACATCCGCCTTGTCCTGAGGGGAAACGGGAATTCCAGACACCCCAAAAACCCCACAGGCACCCCAAAAACCCCACAGCACATCCGCCTCGTCCTGAGGGGAAAACGGGAATTCCAGATGGGCTGGACACCCCAACACCCCACAAACACCCCAAAAACCCCACAAACACCCCAAAAAATGCCACAAAAACCTCACAAACACCCCAAAAACCCCAGAGACACCCCAAAAACACCCCAGAGGACACCCCAAAGCCCCCCCAAACCCCCCAAAGGCGCCCGGCCGGCAGACCTCGGTGAGGCGGTGGAACTGGCGCAGCAGGGCCCAGCCGTCGCGGGCGAACTCCCCGCGGGCTGCGGTACGCCGGGCTCAGCTTCTCCTGCAGCCGCGCCCCGCATCAGCGTCAGGTCCATGGCGCCGCGCCGTCCTGGGGGCGCGGCGGGCACGGCCTGAGCGCGGCGCCACCCGTGGGCCCAAATGGGGCAGATCCCGCCCAGGATCCTGCCCTGATCCCGCCCCTGATCCTGCCCTGATCCCGCCCATGGGCCCACCCATGGTCCCAAATGGGGCAGATCCCGCCCCTGATCCCACCCATGATCCCAAATGGGGCAGATCCCGCCCCTGATCCTGCCCTGACCCCAAATGGGGCAGATCCCACCCATGGTCCCAAACGGGGCAGATCCCACCCCGATCCTGCCCTGACCCCAAATGGGGCAGATCCCGCCCCTGATCCCACCCATGATCCCAAATGGGGCAGATCCCGCCCCTGATCCTGCCCTGATCCCACCCATGGTCTGGTCCCACCCATGGTCCCAAATGGGGCAGATCCCACCCATGGTCCTGCCAGGATCCCACCCAGGGGCCCAAATGGGGCAGATCCCGACCATGGTCCCACCCCTGATCCCAAATGGGGCAGATCCCACCCATGGTCCCAAATGGGGCAGATCCCGACCATGGTCCCAAATGGGGCAGATCCCACCCCTGATCCTGCCCTGATCCCACCCCTGGTCCCAAATGGGGCAGATCCCACCCATGGTCCCAGCCCCGATCCCAAATGGGGCAGATCCCACCCATGGTCCCAAACGGGGCAGATCCCGCCCATTGGTTCCCCCCTGATCCCCCCCATCTGCCCTCCTGCTCACCAGGGGGCTGATACCACCCGTTTCCCCCAGATCCCACCCCTGATCCCCTCCCCATCTCCCCCCAGATCCCACCCCAGATCCCCCCATCTTCCCTGATCTGCTCCCCCTGCTCACTGGGCAGCCCAATCCCACCCCTGATCCCACCCCACATCCCACCCAGATCCCCAGCCCAATCCCACCCCAGATCCCACCCCAGATCCCCCCATCTCCCCTCCAATCCCACCCCTGATCCCCCCAATCCCACCCCTAATCCCACCCCAGATCCCCCCAATTTCCCCAGATCCCTCCAATCTCACCCCCCTGATCCCCCCCCCCCAATTTCCCCAGTTCCCCCCAGATCCCTCCAATCCCACCCCCAATCCCACCCCAAATCCCCCCCAATCCCTCCCCATCTCCCTCCAATCCCACCTCCAATCCCACCCCTAATCCCCCCCCACCCCCAGATCCCAGCCCCAATCCCCCCCAATCCCACCCTCAATCCCTCCCAATCCCCCCCATCTCCCCCAATCCCACCCCAGATCCCCCCCAATCCCTCCCCATCTCCCTCCAATCCCACCCCCAATCCCACCCCTGATTCCTCCCAATCCCCCGCCCCCGATCCCACCCCAGATCCCAGCCCAATCCCCCCCAATCCCCCCCTAATCCCGCCTCAGATCCCCCCCCAATCCCCCCCCAGATCCCCCCGGTGCTCACGGCGGAGCTGCAGAGGCGCTGCAGGGGCCGCCAGGGCTCGTGGCACAGCAGCTCCAGCAGCACGAAACTCGCAGCGCTGCGGGAACGGGAGCGGGGGTCGGGATCGGGGATCCCCAGGGGGGAGATCACAGGGGATCCCCCGGGATCGGGGTTGGGATCGGGATCCCCAGGGGGAGATCACAGGGGATCCCCCGGGATCGGGGTCGGGATCGGGATCCCCAGGGGGGAGATCACAGGGGATCCCCAGGGAAGAGATCACAGGGGATCCCCCGGGATCGGGGTTGGGATCGGGATCCCCAGGGAAGAGATCACAGGGGATCCCCAGGGAAGAGATCACAGGGGATCCCCCGGGATCAGGGTTGGGATTGGGATCCCGAGGGAAGAGATCACAGGGGATCCCCCGGGATCGGGATCAGCCCGGGGATTCCCTGGGATCCGCACAGTGGGATCAGGAATGGGGGATCAGCCCAGTGGAATCAGTGGGATCAGCCCAGCGGGATCAGATCAGCCCAGTGGGATCAGGATCAGTCCAATGGGATCAGCCCAGAGGGATCAGCCCAGAGGGATCAGGATCAGCACAGAGGGATCAGGATCAGCCCAGCAGGATCAGCCCAGCAGGGATCGGCCCAGTGGGATCAGCCCAGCGGGATCCCCGGGATCAGGGATCAGCCCAGTGGGATCAGCCCAGCGGGATCCCCGGGATCGGGATCAGGGATCAGCCCAGTGGGATCAGCCCAGAGGGATCCCCGGGATCGGGATCAGGGATCAGCCCAGTGGGATCAGCCCAGAGGGATCCCCGGGATCGGGATCAGGGATCGGCCCATTGGGATCAGCCCAGAGGGATCCCCGGGATCGGGATCAGGGATCGGCCCAGTGGGATCAGCCCAGAGGGATCCCCGGGATCGGGATCAGCCCATTGGGATCAGCCCAGAGGGATCCCCGGGATCGGGATCAGGGATCGGCCCAGTGGGATCAGCCCAGAGGGATCCCCCGGGATCGGGATCAGGGATCGGCCCAGTGGGATCAGCCAGAGGGATCGGCCCGGCCTCACCTGCTGGTCCTGGGGGCTCAGCTTCACCGGGGGGCCCTGCTCAGGATCCGGGTCCGGCTCTGGCAGGGGAGGGGGCAGCTCCTGGCACAGCAAACACGTCCACTCGGGGCTGTGGGAGCGGGAATGGGATCAGGAATGGGGGATCAGGAATGGGAACAGGGGATCGGGAATGGGGATTAGGAATGGGGGATCAGGAACGGGAACAGGGGATCAGGAATGGGGATCAGGAATGGGGGATCAGGAACGGGAACAGGGGATCAGGAATGGGGATCAGGAATGGGGGATCAGGAACGGGAACAGGGGATCGGGAATGGGATCAGGAATGGGGGATCAGGAACAGGAACAGGGGATCGGGAATGGGGATCAGGAATGGGGGATCAGGAACAGGAACTGGGGATCGGGAATGGGGATCAGGAATGGGGGATCAGGAACGGGAACAGGGGATCGGGAATGGGGTCATGGGGCAGCTCCTGGCACAGCAAGCACGTCCGCTCAGGGCTGAGGAATTGGGGATGGGGGTTCAGGAACGGGAATGGGGATGCCCACGGGGCTGGGAGTGGGAACGGGGTCATGGGGGATCGGGGCAGTGGATCCCAGGGACAGTGGGGAACTCAGGAGGGTGACACGGGGCAGTGGATCCCAGGCCCGGGGGGTGACAGGGACAGTGGATCCCAGGGGGGTGACACGGGGCAGTGGATCCCAGGGACATTGAGGGGTGACACGGTGCAGGGGATTATGGGGGAGTGGCACGGGGCAGTAGATCCCAGGGACACTGAGGGGTGACACAGGGCAGTGGATCCCAGGGACACTGAGGGGTGACACAGGACAGTGGATCCCAGGGACATTGGGGAACTCAGGGAGGGGTGACAGAGGCAGGGGATCCCAGGGACAATGGGGGACAATGGGAGGTGACACAGGGCAGCGGATCCCAGGGGGGTCACGCAGGGCAGTGGATCCTGGGGACACTAGGAGGGTGACACGGGGCAGTGGATCCCAGGTCCCAGGAGGTGACACAGGGGAATGGATCCCAGAGTATTGTGGGGTGACAGGGGGTGACACAGGGCAGTGGATCCCGGGGAGGTGACACGGGGCAGTGGATCCTGGGGACATTGGGGGACATTTGGGGGTGACACAGAGCAGGGGATCCCAGTCCCAGGAGGTGACGCAGGGCAGTGGATCCTGGGGACATTGAAGGGTGACACAGGGCAGTGGATCCCAGGTGCCAGGGGGTGACACAGGGCAATGGATCCCAGGGACATTGTGGGGTGACAGGGGGCAGTGGATACCAGTCCCAGGGAGGTGACATGGGGCAGTGGATCCCAGGGACACTGGGGGACTCGGGGTGACACAGGGCAGTGGATCCCTGGGACACTGAAGGGTGACACAGGGCAATGGATCCCAGGGGGACATTTATTATTTATGGGGTGACAGGGGGTGACACAGGGCAGGGGATCCCGGGGAGGTGACACGGGGCAGTGGATCCCAGGTCCCAGGAGGTGACACGGGGGCGGTGGATCCCAGGGGGGGTGACAGGGGACAATGGATCCCAGGACACTGGGGGGTGACACGGGGGCGGTGGATCCCAGGGGGGTGACAGGGGACAATGGATCCCAGGGACACTGGGGGGGCACTGGGGGGGTGACACGGGGCGGTGGATCCCAGGGGGGTGACAGGGGACAATGGATCCCAGGGACACTGGGGGGCACTGGGGGGTGACACAGGGCGGTGGATCCCAGGGGGGTGACAGGGGACAATGGATCCCAGGGACACTGGGGGGCACTGGGGGGTGACACGGGGCGGTGGATCCCAGGGGGGTGACAGGGGACAATGGATCCCAGGGACACTGGGGGGTGGCACCGGGTCCCCCGGGTGCCACGGTGGCCCCGCACCTGGGCACGTCGTGCAGCGCGGGGCAGGTGGCAGCGCAGGTGGAAGCAGCGCTGGCAGCGGTCGCACATCACCACGGCCCGGCCTGGGCCGCACACGCGGCAGCACGAGACCCCCGGGACCCCCACGGGGACGCCGGGGACGCCCACGGGGACCCCCCCCGGGGACCCCCCGGGACAGGGCCTGGGTCACCCGGGGGCGGGGGGGCAGCAGCCCCACGGGTTTGGTGTCCCCAGTGTCACCGGTGTCACCGATGGGCGACTCCTGCTGCTCCTCCTGCAGGGGGGGGACACGGTCAGGGACAGGGACAGGGACAGGGGAAAGGGGACAGGGATGGGGGACAGGGACAGGGGACAGGGACAGGGAAAGGGGACGGGGACACAGGGATGGGACAGGGACAGGGATGGGGACAGGGATGGCGACAGGGATGGCGACAGGGGACAGGGATGGGGACAGGGGACAGGGATGGGGACAGGGGACAGGGGACAGGGACAGGGATGGGGACAGGGATGGGGACAGGGGACAAGGGGACAGGGACAGGGATGGGGACAGGGATGGGGACAGGGGACAGGGTCGGGGACAGGGATGGGACAGGGACAGGGACAGGGATAGAGAGAGGAATAGGGGACAGGGACAGGGATGGGGACAGAGGATGGGGACAGGGACAGGGGACAGGGGACAAGAACAGGGAACAGGGATGGGGACAGAGGAGGGGGGACAGGGACAGGAACAGGGATGGGGACAGGGAAAGGGGACAGGGGGACAGGGAGAGGGACAGAGGAGAGGAACAGGGGACAGGAGGCGGGGGACAGGGGACAGGGATTGGACAGGGGACAGGGATGGGGACAGAGACAGGGATGGGGACAGGGATGGGGACAGGGGACAGAGACAGGGACAAGCACACAGTCAGGGACAGGGACAGGGACAGGAGACAGGGGACAGGGATAGAGAAAGGGTTAGAGACAGGGACAGGGATGGGGACAGGGATGGGGACAGGGATGGGGACAGGGGACAAGGACATGGACAGGGGAGAGGGACAGGGACACTGGAGCGCGATGGGGAGGGGACAATGGGGACACTCACGTGGGTGGGATAGGGACACAAGGGATGGGGACGGGGACAGGGGACGCTAACTGGGATGGGGACAAAGGGGTATGGGGAGGGGGACACAGGGGATGGGGACACAGGGGACACTCCCCTGGGTGGGGAGGGGACACAGGTGTCACTCACCTTGACCAGCGGCGCTCCGTGCGGCTGCACCGTCCCCGCCGTCCCTTCTGTCCCCGGTGTCCCCTCAGTGCCAGCTGTCCCCGGTGTCCCCGGTGTCCCCTGCTCGATGACGATGAGGCTGAACTCGCGCGCCGAGGGCCCGGGGAAGATGCGGAACACGGGCGGCTGCGCCGGGTCCAGCTCCAGGTCCAGCTCCAGGCGCTCCAGGCTCACCCGGGGCTGCTTGGGGAGCCGGGGGGGGCTGCCCCACACCGAGGGGGGGCCCCGTCTGTGGGGACAGCAATGTCACCAGGGCACCCCAAAACCCGGGGGGCTGCCCCACACCGAGGGGGGGGCCCCGTCTGTGGGGACAGCAATGTCACCAGGGCACCCCAAAACCCGGGGGGCTGCCCCACACCGAGGGGGGTCCCCTCCTGTAGGGATAATGGGGTCACAGGGGGACCCCAAAACATCTGGGGCTGCCCCACGCCGAGGGTGAGCCCTCGTGGGGGACACCAATGTCACCAGGGCACCCCAAAACACCTGGGGGCCCCAAAACCTCGGGGGGCCCCAAAACCCCTGGGAGCTGCCCTGGGGGTCGGGGGCGCCCCTCCTGAGCAACAGTGGGGTCACCTGGGCACCCCAAAACCCGGGGGGCTGCCCCAAAGCAAGCAGGGATCCCTGCTGGGGGACACCAATGTCACCCGGGGGTCCCTGGGAGCTCGGGGACAGGGGACAGGGACAGGGCACGGGAGGACAAGGGACGGTGACAAGAGCTGGGAACTGGAGGACAGGGACAGTGACAAGGCTCAGGGGTGGTGGGGACAGTGACAGGGGGACCCCAGGACTGGGGACAGGGACAGTGACAGTGACAGTGACAAGGCTCAGGGGTGGTGGGACAGTGACAGGGGGACCCCAGGACTGGAGACAGGGACAGTGACAGTGACAGTGACAAGGCTCAGGGGGTGTGGGGACAGTGACAGGGGGACCCCAGGACTGGGGACAGGGACAGTGACAAGGCTGGGGAAGGTTGGGGACAGGGACAGGGACATCCTGGCCAAGGGACAGGACGGGAGGGGCTGCAGGTGGCCCTGGCCAGGTGACAGGTGAGCTGACAAAGGACAGAGGGTGGCAGGGTGACAGGTGACAAGGGACAGAGGGGTGACAGGGTCACAGGGTGACAGGTGACAGAGGACACAGGGGTGACAGGGTCAGGGGTGACAGGGTCCCCTCCCCCCTCGTTACCGTTTAACGAGCAGCTTCTTAACGAGCTTCTCCTCCCGGGGGGAACAGCCGGGGACCCTCCTGCGGGACAGGGACAGGGACAGGGACAGATGGCATCAGGGACAGGGACGGGGACAGGGACAGATGACATCAGGGACAGGGACGGGGACAGGGACAGGGACAGATGGCATCAGGGACAGGGACAGGGACAGGGACAGGGACAGATGGCATCAGGGACAGGGATGGGGACAGGGACAGGGACGGGGACAGGGACGGGGACAGGGACAGATGGCATCTGGGACAGGGACGGGGACAGGGACGGGGACAGGGACAGATGGCATCAGGGACAGGGACGGGGACAGGGACAGGGACGGGGACAGGGACAGGGACAGAGGCATCAGGGACAGGGACGGGACAGGGACAGATGGCATCAGGGACAGGGACGGGGACAGGGACAGGGACGGGGACAGGGACAGGGACAGAGGCATCAGGGACAGGGACGGGGACAGGGACAGATGGCATCAGGGACAGGGACGGGGACAGGGACAGGGACAGAGGCATCAGGGACAGGGACAGGGACAGATGGCATCAGGGACAGGGACAGGGACAGTGTCACCAGGTACAGTGTCACCCTGGGGCAGGGACAGGAGGGGCCAGGATGGCGGTGACAAAGGACGGGGGGTCCCAGGGGTGGTGACAAGGGACAGGGGGTGACAAGGGACAGCACCCCCCGTCCCCACTCACGCGCTCCCTGCGGTGACGCCGTTCTCAGGGCTGGTGGCTGGGGACAAATGCCACATCAGGGACTGCCCCAGGGTCCCCCTCCCCTGTCCCCAACCTGTGTCCCCATGTCCCCTCCCCTGTCCCATGTCCCCCTCCCCTGTCCCAGTGTCCCCATCCCCATGTCCCTATAGCCCATCTCCCCCTCCCGTGTCACTATGCCTGTGTCCCCTCCCCTGTCCCCGTGTCCCCTCACCCGTCCCACTCACCGTGTCCCCTCCCCTGTCCCCGTGTCCCCTCACCTGTCCCACTCCCCGTGTCCCCTCCCCTGTCCCCATGTCCCCTCACCCGTCCCACTCACCGTGTCCCCTCCCATGTCCCCGTGTCCCCTCCCGTCTCCCCTCCATGTCCCCTCCCCATGTCCCAGCCACGTCCCC